CGACCTTAAACGACATTACTTTAATCTACTAAATGAAAGAAAGAAAAACCTAAAATCGAAAAAGGGATTACAAACAAAAACAAAAGCAAAAATACTCACCAATTAAGACGAGAATCTGCGACAAGAAACTGCGAACGAGAAAATGGAAACAAAATCGGGAGAGAGAAAAGCAAAATCGGAATCGGCTTAAACCAGCAAGAGCGAAAATGGAAGCGGGAGAGAGAAAAAAGAGAAAGAGAATTCTGAAGGAAGATGAAAAGCCAACTCGAAGAAACCGCCCGCGAAAATTAATTAATATACTAAATCAATCCTGAACGTTAGATTACATGAGCAGTGAACGGACGAGATCAGGTCTCACGTCCACACTTTAAACAAGTGGATGCATTGGAACCAATCCCTATATATATATATAATATATTCTTGTATACTATTTTATAAATGAAAATAAGTTAACAAAATAGCAATGTATAATAATTTAAACTATAGCACTTTGTAATTATGTAAATATATAATATATCTAAATATTTGAATAGATATTATTTAACTCATTATATAAGTTGAAATAATGAACTAAAAAAATAAATATAAATAATAAATAAAAACATAAAAATAAAATATTTAACTATAAAAAATTTGTGTGTTGCATAAGCATTAAAGTTACTAAAAATTAAAATTTATTTATCAAAGTTTTTAACATTTAATGCACCTAATAATTATAGCGTAAATAAATATTATGGGTTAAATGTTGGTAAATTATCAAACAATGTGGAAATTATAAATTGTTGAAAAAATTACAAAACTATGATAAACAACAATTTAATAAGTAAACATAAGTAACTTGTATGCAAATATCACATGATCTTATACATTTATAATATTTTATAAACTTATAAATTATAAAATTTATTTATTAAATAGTCAAAAGCTACAAAAAATATTATAAAAATAAGAATTAATAATAATAGTAAATAAATAAATGTCATATTATCACTGAATAGAATATTGTGGAAAATATAATTTCATATTGTCTTATATAACTTTCCCCGTGAATCACACGGGTATCAATACTAGTATCATTTAATTGTGAACAACAATATCTCACCAGCTATGAGGATAGGGACTTACCATTTATAACAGACACATTATATAGCATATTAAAAGACCTGCCAACAAGATATTGGTTAAGAAAAAATTTCAATACACTATATAAGTTGTTTTGCTACTTTATTTCAAAAACTATAGAATATCTTCACTGCATCCCTAATCTATACTTATATTAAAAGGTATACCATTTACCAGATCTATACTTATATTAAAGGGAGTCCTATTTACCAAATTTAGTAGTTAGAAAAGTCACTAACATTTATTGTCATTACTATTTCCGTATTATACAGTTTTATTTAATATTTGTTTTTCTGTTACGATTTTAAAAACAGATATGGTCAAATTCTCTCATCATTAATTACTTTCCATTAATTAAAATTTATTTATTTATTATTTTCTTATAAAAAACGGACCAACATTAATTGATTTCCTTAAAATGTGGAAGTTGTTGCTTTATTTTTGTACAGAAAATCGGGCTTCATTATAGAAATTTGTTCAATTACACAATGAATTTTCTATGATATAATTATTTTTTATGAGAACTTTTTTTAACAGAAAAATATGGCATTTCAATAAGATTTTTAATTTTTTAAGACTGATTGTTATCAAGCTATGAAATTGAACATTCCAATATACTTTAACAAAATATACACGTGGTGTATACATCAGTTAATAGAAATATAGAATCCTCATATTTTTATATATATGTATGTAATTTTTCTATTACCAAATTTAATTGATAGTTGTTGTGTTATGGGTTTTTTCATAATTATTACTTGATTGTTGTGATATTTAGTTTGGTTGGTGTCGCAAAAATTCTAATATATATATAATAAGAATAATCATTACAATGCAAGTTAGAAAAATATCGATATTAGAAGAGATTGAGTTCATGGCTTTTCTTAAATCAAAGTTGTTTAATTAGTATACAAAATTCAATTCTAAAAAAATATATGTGTATATTTTGTACATTTTTTATACACTATTTAATTTTTAATTTATTTACATATTTTAAATTGATTACTTATATAAATAATACCAACGTGCATTAAATATATTTCATTACATAAAATAAAAAGATCAAGAAGACGTGCAACTTGTATAACTTTATAAATAATAATAATATTATATGGCAACAGAGTTTAATAATTAACTATTATATAGTGAATAAGATAAGTAAAATTATTATTTTCTCTTATATCAAGGAATAAATATATATAATAAAATTAAATTTGTATTAGTATAAATGTGTTAGTGAGATAATATATTAATTATTTTACAAGTTAGCCCTAATATGTTCACGTTTAATGTTCTGACTAATAAAACAACACTGATTAAAAGATGTGAAAAATAGATTACAACCCTATTTTTAAGACTTAACGGTGATTAAAAGAGGTGGAAAATAGATGATAGCTCTTTTCAAACTTAAACGATACTTAACGGTGATTAAAATATGTGGAAAATGGATAATAACCCTTATCAGACTTAAACGGACAGAACCTGTGAAAATAATACCCTTATCAGACTTAAACGGACAGAACCTGTGAAAATAATTCATTTAATATCTCTCTCCCGTGCATCGCACGGGGTACGTACTAGTTTAGTATAAAGAAAAGTCAACAACATTTATTGCGTTACTATTTCCGTATTATACAATCTATACTTATATAAAAGGAGATTCTATTTACTATATTTACTATTCAGAAAAGTCAACTTCATTAAATGTCATTACTATTTTGGTATTATAATATTTTATTTATTTAATTGATTTATTTATTTGTTTTATTTTAAAAAGGTAAGTCTAATAAATATATTTTAATAATAAAAAAATTAAATACCAAATAAGAATGTACACTTTGACTTATTTGATTAAATTTGGTATTTGATTATACCAAATATATTCCTATTTAGTATATACATTAAATACTTACTAAAGTATATATTTATTTTATTTGTCAAAGTTAAGTATAGATTTGTTTATATTATCAAATCATAAAAAAAATATTAAATTCATATTGTAAAAAAAAAATCATATAATTTTATAACAATTCTACTACACTATTTAACAATATTTCTTTTTTATTATATAATAAAATAATAATCAAATATTATATGGTGAACAAAAATGAGTAAAACTGTTACTTTCTCTTATATCAAGAGATAAATTTATATGCTAAAATTAATTTTTTATTAGTATAAATATTTTAGTGAGATAATATATTAATTATTTTACAAGCTAGCCCTAACATGCTCATATTTAATGTTTTAAAAGATGTAGAAAAAAAAACTTATAATAACTCTATGGTTTTTTAGACTTAAACGTTGATTAAAAGAGGTAAAAGTTCCTAAATTTTTAGACTTAAACGTTGATTAACACCATAGATTGAGAGTTTATATTTAGTAAAATTCCTAATTGTAATAAAAAATTAATTTTTGCTATATTTTAGAATATCTTTAAATTCATTATAAAAAAAAAAAAACTACAATGAAAAAAGTAAGTCAGCTATATATGATTTGTTGTACTCCTCAAATCACATTAATTTGGAAGGAAACTCATTCATTAAAATATTATTTTGTCAGTAGTCTTAATATACAAGAGACTTTAAGACTCCACTTGAATATATTATTTTGTCAGTAGTCTTAATATACAAGAGACTTTAAGACTCCACTTGAATATTATAGAACTTTTATTGAACATTATACAATTTTCTTTTGCGTATTATAAACTTTTATTGAATATTGCATCTTATAATATAATATTCTCCAAATAAATATATCTCGTGTTTTGCATGGGTTATCGTACTATATATATCCCGTATATTTTTCTTTATTCATGTATGTAATTATAAGTCTGGATAAATAACTTTAAAATTATGCACCTCGTGGCTCAGTACTAGTGTGAATAGAACCGCTACTTTATCGCAAGAAGGTAGCATACCCATAATGTGAACAAACTAGTCATTATTGTCTAGAATTTCCCATGTTACACCGTATATGTCCATAGGATGAGATAAATACACACGGTATGTTGTTGGAATGGATTTTCAATTGCCATTATATATTATGGTGATATAAAATATAACTTTAAACTAAAATAGAATTACTTATATATAATTTTATAAGATGATTATAAGTAGTTTAGAATATAACTTCACTAATAAACAACAACTAATTAGAAATCAAAGTTTAGTTAGTAATAATTAGTAAAAAGAATAAGGATACAAAGAATATAATTAGCGGTAAATGGTCTTATTTAATTATTTTAATGTCGATTGAGGAGAGTTTGGCGGATCTGAGAACAATGTTTTTGGGCAGCTCTAATGTATCCTATCCCTTCCCGATCCCTTCCTCAATGTTTTTGTCCTTAGTAAGAAAATGACGTAAAAATGAATAAGAACAAATGAGAGAATAAGATAAAAACGACTAAGAATGTGAATAATTTAAGATGTAATTGTAATATAGTTAATCCAAATTGAATAATAATAGTAATAATAATAATAATAAATTTTATTTTTAACTAAATTGATATATTTAAGAAAACATTGATGAAATGAATAATAATAATTATTAAAGTAAATTAATTATTATGATTTTAATAAAATAAATTTTGGTGAACTAAAAAATATTGGGCTCAAAAACAAGCAAATTAACATTTAATACATGCATAACATTCAAATTAGATGCCGGCTCCGATTTGGAACCACAGGCTTAGGTTCGTATTTATTGTGAATCGGAACATGCTCGGATGTGAACCTGCTCGAGGTTTCGAGCCGAACTGGGAAATTAAAAAAAGAAAAAATTAAAGATCCAATTTTTAAATTAAAATTTCAGTGCCGAACTAGTACCCGCAGTTCAATTTTTAAAAATACATGAATCGGACCGGTTGGAATAAAACCATGGGTAGGTTCAAGACCCAGTGGACTTGGTGGGCCGGTTCAAGGCCCAGTTCACTTAACGGGCCGATTCGGCTAATTCAATCGACTCTCTATCGGTTAATCATACAGACGAAGTACACTCGCATGGCGAGAGGCTCGCTACGCCGTCTCGTTCCTTCAAAATCTCGCTCAGCTCCTTCCGCCAGGCCTTTCTGCACCTCCCCGCCGGCGGACCCTCCGGCCCGGTCGAAGCTTCTCGAAGACCTCCGGCAGATTAGGGTTCTCATCCAGCAGAGGCAGACCAACAGGGCGAAAAGCAGTCTCTACGCCCTCATCCCTCACCAATCCGCTTCTCAACTCTACAATTCCTTCTCGCAAACCTCGCCGCCTCCGCGCACGAAGCCGGCTTTCGCAGACGCGCTCCTGACGGTCTACGCGGAGGCGAAGCGCCCCGACGATGCCGACGAATTATACGTCCTGCTCAGGGGCGAAGGTTATTTACCCTCGATCTCGGCATTTAACCTCTTTCTTCAGTCTCTGGTGGAATCTGGCCGATTCCGCAGGGCGCTCGAAATTTTCTCCGACGCCGTGAATTCGGGGGTCTCGCTGGATTATTTCAGTTACGGGAAAGCTATACAGTCGGCGGTGAAGCTCGGGGATGTGGGGAGGGGTTTGGAGTTGATGAATCTGATGAAGAACAGTGGTTGGAAGCCAAGCTGGTTCGTGTACAACGTTTTGATCAGCGGCTTGTGTAAGGAGAGGAGGCTCAATGATGCCAGGAAGCTGTTTGATGAAATGCGCAGGTTGAATGTGGCACCGACCACAGTGACCTACAATACCCTGATTGACGGGTACTGTAAATCCTGGGACTTGGAAGGGGCTTTTGTTTTTCGAGAGAGGATGAAGAACGACAAGGTGGAGCCGAATATTGTGACGTATAACACATTGCTCAGTGGGCTCTGTAAGATGGGGAGAATGGATGAGGCTAATAAGGTCTGGGAGGAAATGGAGGCCCACGGGTTCATTCCCGATGGATTCAGTTACTGTACTATTCTCGACGGACACTCTAGGCGAGGTGATGTCGAGGCCTCAATAGCTGTATACAATGATGCGGTTAAGAGAGGCCTGAGCATGAATTCGTACACGTGTGGTATTTTAATCAACACTTTGTGCAAGGAGGGAAAAATGGATCGGGTGGAGGAGTTTTTGTCGAAACTGAAGGAATCTGGAGTTGCCCTGACCGAGGTCATCTTCAATACCGTTGTCAATGGCCACTGCAGAGCGGGAAATGTCGAGAAAGCCCTCCTGACTATCGAGAGAATGGAAAGAGAGTGTGTGGGGCCCAGCTGCATTTCATACAATACGGTGATCGGCAAATTCTGTGAACTGGGTCAGGTGGACAGTGCAAACGAGTGGGTCGGGAAAATGAAGGCGAAGGGCATTGGGCCAGACTTGCAGACGTATAATATCCTGATGGCAGGCTACAGTCGAAATTGTCAGTTTGAGGAGTGTTTGCAGAATCTCGACGAGATGAAAACCAATGGTTTGAAGCCCAACGTCGTCACTTACGGTTCGTTGATAAATGGCTTCTGCAAGAAGGGGCGGCTTGTAGAAGCCCAGGTTATCTTCAACGACATGTTGACGAGAGGCGTGCTCCCGAACGCCCAGGTGTACAACATGCTCATACACGGGTTCTGCTCAGTAGGAAAAATTGATGATGCATTTAGGGTTTTTAAAGAGATGTTAAATAATAAAGTACGTCCGACTATTGTGACATACAATGCGCTCGTGAAGGGGCAGTGCAATACAAACAGGCTCTCACAGGCTGAAGAATTAGCCTTTAGCGTCACCAAGGAAGGCTTGAGTCCTGATGTCATCACTTTCAATACGTTGATCTCCGGGTTCTCAATCGCAGGTGACCTAGACAAGTGTTTGGAATTGTACGAGAAAATGAAAACCTCGGGAATGAAGCCCACGCTAAGCACCTACCATCCGCTGATAAGTGTGAGCAAAACGAACAGGCTAGACCTCGTCGAGAAATTTGTTCAAGAAATATCCAAGTTCAATTTGTCCCCTGACCGAGTTTTATACAACGAGCTCATACAGTGTTACGTACATCACGGGGACATTCAGAGAGCTAACCACTTGTGCCAGGAGATGTTGGGTTCGGGCATTTGTCCGGACAAGATGACGTACAACAGCTTGATTACCGGATGCTTGAAAGAAGGGAATACAGGGGCAGCTAGGGATCTTTTTGATGGCATGATTTCCAGAGGGATTGCCCCCAATGACGAGACTTTCAACAAGTTGATCGAGGGCTACTGCAAGTTGAGGGATTTTGACGGGGCTTACATGTGGTATGAGAAGATGATGGGAACTAGGCTTCTGCCACGAGCCTCGATTTGCAACATGCTTCTTGGGGGGTTGAGAGAGGAAGGGATGTTGGAGAAGGCCGAGATTGTGAGCTCTCAAATGAGTGTTAAGGGAGTTGACGAGAGTTCGCGTGAGGATCTCTCGGCTGCTCGGGTCGCGCGATGAATGCTTGTTTTGAGGTAATGGCTACCTTTGATGAACTCTGGCCGAAAGGCAGTAAATATGGGAAATAGATTCTATACATTTATGATTGGTAAATTAATGTGCGAAGTTGTAGAGAGAAAGACGCGTGTAAATACATGTTGGTTTAATGTTGTGTCTTTTTTCTCTCCAAATACGCACAAAAATTTACCAAATGAATTGTAGAGGATCCAAGTGCATGAATATGGGTCGACATGCAGGTTGAGGTAAGGTAGTTTGTGTGTGTGGAAAGTGGTGCTGTGCCGTGACTGTGAAGATTCAGAGTAAGGTGTTTTACTAACATTTATCTTCTCAATTTGGGTGCTTGGACTTACTTCGAGTGGATGACATGGACAGTTGGTGTGTTTATATGTTCTCGATCAGTTGAAAAGATGGCCTCTGAATTGGTATCACTTGTCAATGCTGAGAGAGAGTTGTACTTGGATTGCGGGCGGTGGATCATATTGATGAAGATTGACCTGCTACTTTTGTTATTCTGTGTAACGGAGTCCTCTGCCTAATTCACTTATTCGCAAGTTATATATTTGAAAAGGCTTTGATAGAGATCTCGGAAATATATGGCGATTAATAGAGGAAAGTTAGATCATAATTTTCATTGTTTATACTGGTCCAACATGAAACTTGTGATTGGTCGTAAAACACCAATTTGCTTGTTGAGACCTAATTCTATCTTCGTAGATTTCTCTGTATAGTTTCTTACAAAGTTTAGCTTCTGCTTTAAAGGGGACAACATGGCAAATAAACACCACAGGTATTAGCTTACCCGAACAGTAAGGGTAACCAAAACCGAGCCGAAACCGAAAAACCGAATCAAACCGGTGTACTCGGTGCAGTTCGGTTCGGTTTTCGGTGCGGTTAAAAATTTAAAAAACCGCACAAATTTCGGTTCGGTTTGGTTTTTTGTCCAAATAATGCTGCTCTAACCGAGCCGCACCGAATATGTT